GGTGAATTAAATGATAAAACTTGAGGTTAAGTTCTTTTTTAATTGATTTGGTGCATTTAAACATATTTATTTATTTAGTGGTTCATTTATATGTTTCTGCTTTTAATTCTAATTATGTCAGTTTTGGTCCTCCGTACAGCAGAACTTGGAAGAGGTAATTCAGTGACTGAATCAGGTGTGTTGGAAAAATAAATATGAAGGTAAATTAAATTATAAAACTTGAGGTAAAGTTCTTTTTTAATTTATTTCATGCATTTAAAACGTATTTATTTATTTAGTGGTTCATTTAAATGTTTCTGCTTTTAATTCTAATTATGTCAGTTTTGGTCCTCCGTACAGCAGAACTTGGAAGAGGTAATTCAGTGACTGAATCAGGTGTGTTGGAGCAGGGAAATATGTAAAACATGCAGGATTGCGGCCCTGGAGGACCAGGATTGCCCACCCTTGGTTTAGAGACAACATAAATCAGCAATCAGTGACCTCCTGCCTCTTCTTGAGCCGTTTTACTGCAGGCTGGAATCGGTACGACTCACTAAATTCAAGGATTGTGATGGTACTTTTTTATAAGAAAGGGAAACCTAAAAGAAAAAAATAAGTTCATCAAAATGAGCAATACTTAGCTGCAAAATACATTCTGGAAACCTGTGCAAACACATTAGAATTTCAAAAAAAAAAGTACCCTAAATTTTCATATGTTGTGGCCAAGCTGACCTGTTTATGACACTGACTCAACATCATTATGAAATAAATGACAACCAAAACTTTCTTTTTCTTGGAACTGAGCTGCCATTGTGCATGACCATCACACATCACTGTCCATTTCTTTTAATGCCATTGACACTTCAGCCATCTTAAACATTTGGCAGGGATTTATATGCTCTTTAAAGACTTGACATTTAAGGAGTCATTCCAGCTCACAAGATGCCTCTGGGGAAAATGTCCAAACAGGCACCCATGACAAGACAGTCAGTTTACACTGTCTGTCATAGGGAGAGCATCAGAGAATTATGGTTTTGACTGTAAATTATTTGTAAATAAAACTATGAATGAATAGCTGCTGCAAAAAATAGACATTGATTGCAGTCTCCCATTTTAGAATTACAAATAATTACATCAGGAAAACTACTGGAGTAAATTATTTTAAACTGCAGCATTTGTTGTTGCTTATTAGAGGTTTTCACATTGGGGCCGCCTTCCTTAGAGATTTTGAGGGTGTGTGTGGGGTGAATCAGGAAATAGGGAAACTAATGTAAGGCTCATGTTGACACTGCAGGTCGCAGATCTTTTTTGTGTGTTGTTTCATATTACCATTAAAATGTGACCTCCTTCAGGCTTCAGTATGAATTGTTAACAGTTCAGAGGTGACCCGTTATAAAAAAAAAGAGATGCCACGTAGAATGGGCTTTGTTTGAGAAAGTAATCACACATGCTACATGTGTTGGTGTGTGTGATTCTGATGTTTTTGTGCAATCAAAAATGATTAAATTATTATCTGACATGTTTTAAGGTCTAATATATTTAATCTTACCTCTTGAAAAATTCTCCAGCTCAGCATTTTAATACTGGAGGAAAGCGACGAGCTGAAGGTAAAATAAACTTAATATCAATGCTATCGTGTTAACATCGACACGGCCTGACACTAACTTAGCATCATCTGTTTTGCAGATTCTCAGCCATCCAGGACATGGACAGAACACAGACAAAGCAACTGGACTTCTG